GGTTCTGTTTATTGCGTTTATGATTCAGTACACCAAAATAAACAAATTTAAAAGATAACAGATCATTGTAATACTTGGTTAATTTACGTAATGACTTTAATTGCTGGATGTCTGGCCCCTGAGCTGCTGGCTTTCAGTAACTGTGTCCCCCTGAGCAATTTAGCTGAATAGCCCTGGTTTAGACAAAAAAGTTTACCCAGATTGTAGTAGTGTATATTATTGTATTGTATTTTCTGTGTAAACAACATAATAGCTGTTGTACATAGCTTCTTGAACTATCTCAGTTTGGCCTTGAAGGTTATTGGGACCACAGCTTGGATCAATGTGGATTGAGCAACAGGACAAAACTTCTGCCTAGATATTTGTGTAATGCAGAATGGACAGCAGAGTAAAGGTGGAAATGACAGCGTTTGGATGATATTTTATGACAGCGGCTATCTGCTGCAGATCCTTTGGGATGAGCCATTATTAGCTCATCAATATAGTCTAAAGAAGACAACTCTAATCTTCACATTTTCACCAAACAAAACCCCGAGTGTACCAGGGATTTCTACAACTGATGCAACTTACTTGGTTATAAAAGGTTATAAATAATGATAGCTGTGTAAATAACGGTTTAAGTAAAACTGACAGGAGTGTAAAAGGTCATAATTTATAATGTGCATGTGAAGTTTGTGAGACTGGAGCTGTTTTAAATCAGCAATAAGCTACTTTCAGCAGGTAAGATAATAACTATTTATAACTTTTACACAAATCCCAGTTCAATATGGTTTTAAATATGGAAAAAAAAGTATTTGGTTGTGACCCTGTTAAAGATGTGTTTCTGCCTGAAAACACCAGCAGCTAATGAAGCTGCTCTTCTTTGCAGTCAGTCATGCTTTTATTTTGATTAGTCAGTGAAATGGTAATTAACTGGGCCTAATTACACACTCCGTGTTGAAGTTAAGCTCTGGACATGAATACTCAGAGGATATTACAAACAAAATAAAATGAAGCGTTCATTATCTCCTCAGCCATGAGAGCCTTTCATAGTGCGAATGAGGTACTTGTTAATTAAAATTCTGTCACTATCAGCAGATAAAAACCTGCTCTCTGAAACATTTTATTCTCGTTTTTGGGGTTTCCTGTGTCACAGCTGCGTACCTCTCTGGGTCGGAGCCTGCTCAACTCTTGCCTGGTGTTCGTCAACATCTCAGGATGCCAGCGACGTTCAGCTGACCTTCTCTGCCCCCCGCCCTCCCTCCTGTATGATGTTGTAGCACAAACTGTGAACGTGAACCATAATAGATTATAAACTAATATATGAAAGAAAAAAATCCATGCCTGTGCTTATGTCATGTACTAACCTTTTTTTTGTTGTTGTTGTTTGTTTGAACAAAATCACACAAAAACAGACAAAAAAATATCCAGAAAGGAGAGAGAAAGTGACAGAATATGTGTTTAGATTCATTTATTGTGCTGAGTTGAATGATTGATGTGCTTTGGTGTCCTAAGCCCCGCCCACATCCCCTCATCTTCGTCTCTGTCTCCTGATGGGGGACGAGCTCTTCTTCGTCCTTATCGGACGAGAGCGGTATAAAAACGGTAGATTTTTTTCGGAGACTTTGCGTGGTGTTTACAGAAGTTCTCTTCAATGTACATAGATTTATTTCTCTGGCGACGGTTCGACGTCTCAACTCTGTATGTCTGTTGAAAGGAAATATAAATGTGACTCAGACATGAAATTGTAAGAAGTTGTGTGAGTATCCTTCTATTTCTCGTCATCTTTGAAGTTATCTGGGGAAAAAAAAAGTGTGTTTAGGATCAACCTCTGTGGGCATCTTTGAGTCATAAAAACAAGTGGTCCTTCTTTGTTTGTCTCCTTTATTATTTTCTTGATGCGTCTCGTTTTGTTATTTGGAACAAATGTTGTTGTTTTTTTTCAGAATATTCCTCAATACTTCTGGTGATTTTCACAACGATGGCAGCAAAGAGTAAAACTTGATTCTTACTGCCCTTTCAGAATCAAAGTCTTATTAAAGGGTTATTTGACATAAATCAGTGTAAGCGTAACTTAGTGCTGACTTAGTGACTCCTACAGTAGTTTGGTTTATAACTCCACGCTCAAACTGGCACTTTTTGGATTCAGATTTGATTGTGACGCTTAAAATCCAAATTAAATGAAAGCACTTGAGTAAAACTAAACGACAGATTTTAACTCCAACCAACCGTTTCTATTTAATCAAACAACGTTCTGTTTACTCACCACTTTAAGATGCTCGTATGTGGTGGTGTAGATCAACAGAGGCAACATGAAGTCCCGGCGTGCTGCTGCGTACTATCATCGAGATTGTAACGATGTGACCGTGGAAAAATATAGCAATGTTTTAGTTGATGAAGAGCAGCCATTTTTAAAACATGGGAAAAATGTTAAATTGTATTTTCTGACTATGAAATATTGTTTCAACAACAAAACCTAAATGAATCTTCTGGCCATTTTAAAGGAGAATTCTGTGGATATGTTATGGATAATAAATATCTTGCCTGCTGCAGATAGCTCTTTAAATGACCTCAGCTTGGAGAAATAAAGTTGACATCCAACAGTCAATGGCTAAAACCAAAGTTTGTTGCTGATGAACATAAACTTCATTTCTCCAAACAGACGTAGTTCAAAGAGTTACTTACCTACAACAAGTAAGATATTTATTCTTTATAGCTTTTCCACAGAAGCCCCATCTCACAAGGGCAGGAATATCTCCTTAAGTTGGAGTCTTTGCTAGTTTAACGCTCGTACTTTGTAAGGCGTGTGCCTCTGAAGGTGCTCAGTGCTTGGTTCTGCAGAAATATGAACCAGAAGACCGGGGTGTTTGATAAAACTGAACAAAAGTCAGATTTGAATTGTGTTGATTTCTTTCTTTTGTTGTGACGTTTGGTTTGTTGTCAGTAGACTGTGCAGCCACCTGGGAGAAATTTGTGGACCAACCCACCGAGGATCAACCCTTCAGCCATAAAATTGTTCCACAAATACGTCTTTTGGCAAACCCTTTCCTTCCTGATGGACCTTACTGTCATGGACTCACGATGTTCTGGGTCTTGGTGTAAATTCGGACCATGTCTCCTCTCTGTGCTGTAAACTGCGGACAGTGATAAATCTGTGTTTCCTGTCATGTTTGTGAGAGTAAATAACGAGAGATTATTAACATTTTTCATGACTGAGAACTTCAAACTGTATTTGTCTTTAGTTGTACATTGATTTTATTTACAGTGGCTCTTCTCAGTGCATGTAAGCCCTTTGAGATGCAATAAATTGGATGACGGACAAATCTGCTCCTCATCTGTTTGTTTTTTTAATTCACTTTTTACTGACAGTTTGTTATTAACTCTGAAGCGCAGCGGCTGTCCTGACTCAGGTTGCCAACGCCCTCATTGATGGGTCGTTGGAAGATGGCACCTAAATATGGTTCCACCAGCATGACATCTTCAGTTATGTACCGCAGCCTCATTTGGTGTTTTGACCATTCATCACGACACCCTCAGCTGGGCTCCGAGTACCGCTTGTTTGTCTGTATGGTCAGTTTTTACAGTGATGGTTTCTTCCTCTTGTGTCTCACCTTCTGGACACGACTGGAGAGCAGGTCCAGTGGACTCATGTTAGAGCTGTCATTTCTAACCCGGGCCCGAAGCCCAGCCTGACCCAAAGTCGGGCTGGGCCATAATAACGTGCTGGATGGGCGGGCCAGGTCGGTGTCTGGCTTTTAACTGTATCAGAGGAACGCGCGTGGCTGACGATCCAATTATATAGCAACATAGCTTTTTTTTCCTCCCTGGCTCTGATCGAGGTGGTTGCTTCTGTCTTTTCTCCCCCATTTTTCCTTCTTCCTACTCTGCTCTCTGTGTGTCTGAAGTGCCTGGTTCACATCTCCTGAACATAAATTAAGAAGATTATGGATTTGAAATCATAGGTGTTCAACTCTATTGATAAGATTTTTTCATCAAAGCGACAAGGTCCTGGAGAACCGGCGTGTCCAGCTGAGACTCACGCTGTGGGGTACGTCATGGATTTGTGGGGAGTGTGGCAGATGATGTGTCTCTCAGTCCTGTCTCAGGAGGATGTTGAAGACGTTTACATATTTGGAATTATGATAGCAGGGACTCTGCTTTTTGGCATCGGTGGGGCTCTGTTTTATCGACTTTTGAAGAAGACATCGGGAGCTGTTTCGGCCATGGAAAAGCTTCCGAGTCAGTGTGAAGGTCTGGTCCTCGCTGTGGGAACTTTAAATCATCGGGTTTACGAGCTTAACCATAAGGTGGAGGCGATTTATGAGAATCGTAGGCCACCTGCAGCTTCTGGGACTCGTCAGCGTGGTGGGTTCAAACTTGAAGGAGACTCATAGCATGGATCAGTGGAATGGAATCCCACAATTAGGCATTTTCGGAACCAGAATGCCCAGATGGACTCAAGGCTTGAAAAAAGTAATCTCTGCCTGAAGAAAAGCAAGAATCAAGCTTATCTGAATCTGACTCCCGACGGCCTCGGAGACAGGCCGACTATCAAATTTCTTCTGGGACATGAGTACCCAAGGACAAAAGCTTCATCTATTCCCCCCCCGAGAACTTTCTGTGCAAGCTTATCAGAACTGTCCGCTGAAACAACATCTTCAGAAACTGTGGCTGATCTGAAAAAAACGCTCATGGACAAATCTCAACACCTCGATGTCAAATGCAAATGTAACCATGTTTTAATTGTGCTGCTGGTAGAGGTTTTTTTATGTCTCAAATCGTGTCCTGATAGACAAGATGTGAAAGATCTTTTCTTGTAATACCACTATCTACCCTCATGTTTTTCCCCCTTTTCCTAGCTCAAAAATATTATTCTGAATAAGAATAAGAAAAGGCCGCTCTTTCTATAGCTGCAGCTTCGTGCACTCCGCCAATCTTTCGGATGACTGTACTTACATGTTTGCGTTGTATCTCGGTGCAATGCCAATAAAATTTATTTTGATACAATCACCAGCCGCACGCAGCCGTTTGACCGCGAGCTGACCGGTCTTGAAAGAGGTAAACTAAAGTTCAGTTCAGCTTCAGATGGGACTACCAGTACTGCCAGGAAGCGATCCATCGCCCAAATGGACGTTCAGCCGCTGCACTCAGCGGACGCACGCGGCCGACGACCCAAACAGGTGAGGTCCCAAAGCAGACATGTCAGAGTAGGGTCAGTGTCTGAATAATGCAGAATGCAGGTAGAAACAGGGATTTAATGAGCTTTGACGGTCATGAAAGGACAAACACCCCCTCAGCTCCGATCTTCTGCCCTTTTATTCAGCCACGCTCGTCCGCGACCATTAATAACTATATAAGCAGTGAAAGCTTAATTAAAACTGTTGGGGGGAGGTTACAGGTTTGGACCTTTAATAACTGTTAATTTGTTTGGTCGGGTGGGATTCGGAAATGATGGCTACGGGCTGGGGCCGGGCCGGGTCGGGTCGGATTTTTTGGGCCGAATGCATCTCTAACTCACGTCACTTAATAAAAGTAAGATTTGTAGCCAGAATCATCACATACATTTACAAACATAAAGTCATTTGGTTTAATAATCAGTACTCATTCCTCTTGACATGTTCTTAAATCAAGTAACAAGATTAGTCAAAGACGTTACACGCCAATTTTGAACTTTTTATTTAACTATAACAAAGTTTTCTAAATCTCATTTACTCTTTAAAAACAGAGACACAAAGAGCTCAAGTAAATTATCGAATGGTTCAGTCCCACAACATGTAGCCTTACATTAAATACAAGAACAGTACCAGGCCATCAAAATATACTCCGAGAAGTCTCGTGATAAAGCATTAAAATAAAAACTTTACAGTCTCATAAATTAGCACCACGTTGTTTCAGGATACGCTTCAATGTAGCTTTGTGCACAACAATGAAACCACTTTTCACTGAGATGCAAACAGAAAAAAGACGGCGAGACAAAAAGCATAAAAACACATCGAGAGGAGCTTTTCTCTATTTAGACAGACAATTCTAAATGTACTCGTAAAAAAAACTAACACAATTTTCTAGATATATACAAATCAAACCATCAGCTAGTCATTTAAGCTTATATATAATTTCCTTGTAATTTTGACAAAGTTTATAAAAAATGAAGGTACATCAGCTTCTTACTGGGTCTTTTTGTTTTTCCAATGCACACGTTTTTGGTTAAAGAACACTTAAAAATACAAGTTTCTTCCTATAAAGCCAATAGATAAATAAATGTGTGAGGCTTAAGACTATAAAATATGTCCAACATTGTCCCCATACAAGTCAAGGTATTTAAAAAAGTTAAAGCAAAAAACTTAATTCATATTTTAATTCTCTGAATTATTTTAAACAAATAAATAAAAACAAGGCGAGCCACAGTTCTCTTGACGAGTTCATGTTGTCAGCTCTACGTTTCTTGGGTCGTACGTGAGTTGTTGTGTTAGTCGAGACAAAAAAGATGCAGAGACGTCCAGAAGAGCGGGGGAAGGAGGTGCAGTTGAGCTACAACTTGGTGATAAGAAGTGAGGCTAAAGGAGGGTTGAATTAATTAAACTGGGTCTGTGGGAAAAGGGACAACGGGTATAAACGGGAATCGGTGGAGTTCTTGTGTCGTCTCAGGCTACCTGACACTTACTCGAGTCCCCGTGGACCCAGTAGCAGATCTGAGCATATTTGAGGGGTGTTATCCTGACAGCCACATTGTAATCCTGCTGCATCCCATTCCCATTAATGTCCACCCACTGGTGACCCGAGAAAACCCCAATAATCTTCCTCTTCCACTTCTTCTTGCCTGGCTCTTTGAGACGGATGTAAACCCCGGAGCCACTGGAGCCGGGCTTGGCATCGCAGTGCTGATACAACAAGTCATTGGATTCCTCCGACACGGAGCAGAACCGGTACACCAGGTTACCGGGTCGGTCATCGTCAAAGCTGGAGAAGTGAATCCTTCCGGCAGGGAGCTTCTTCACTGAAGGGATAACGCCCAGATCCATGTACTTAACTTTTGGGGCTTTCTTCAGTTCGAGAACAGCGTAGTCATAATCTGCAGCAAGTCCTTCTGAGACACCCTTGAACCAGCCCTTCGGAACCTGGGTCTGTTTGACTCTGGTCCACTTAAAGGAAGGTTTCCTCGATTCCACACTTCGACGACTCCGGCTCTTCCTGTTTTTTCCCGTTCCTTTACGATTCTTTCCCCCGCCATCTTCCTCTGGTTCCCGTGCTTCCTCGTTAGCTCGGTCATCTTTCTTTCTTTTGCCCTTTTCTTTCCCTCCTCTACCTTTGCCTCCCTTTGCTCGTCTGCTCTTCTCCTTCAGAATGCCGACACGTAGCTTCTGAACTCCGTCCAGGTAGTTCTTCCCATCGTGGATGCAATGTGCGGCTGTCAGCACATGCTTAGGTGAAACCAGAACACCAGAACATCCCGTGGAGATCTTCACCGAGGTGGAGAACGGATATTTGGTAGAGAACTGTTTATCAGCAATAGTGAAGCGAGTGTCTGTGCCGTACACCTCTCGTTTGTGGCGGGAGCGAGACGAGGCGTTTTTGGACCAGACGGTCACCTCATTGAGGCCATGCACAGAAACTGAGGTGTACGTGCGTGTGCCATTCTCGAAGACTGTCTCGTAGGAGAGAAACTGCTCCAAGTCATCCATGGAAGGGGAAGGAAGGCGACGCTGACACTCGATCCCGCAGGTCCCACTTAGCTCCAGTTCAGGGTGAGCTGAGAAGTTTGGGCTGCTGAGGGGCACAGTGCGCTTCCTCCTCACCAGTGGCACCCTCCATTGTGGCCAGGTGTACTGGTCGTTGAGGGAGTTCTCCTCTGCTGCTACAGACACCCCCACAGTCAGCACCGTCACTTGAAGCAGGATGTAAAGTGGTATGGGGCCCATTGTTGAGTGGGGCCTGGCTCTGAAATAAATTTTAAAAAAGAAAGAAATGTGAAAATTAGTATTTATTTAATTATGATGTGTGTTCTTTCTGTTGCACCAGTCCTAGTAACTGAAAACTAATAAACAAAGGCACATGAAATGAGCTGCAAAATAATTCACCCCCTTGGAATTTATTCTGATTTACAACCTGAATTTTCAAATCATTTTCTATTTTATTCTAAGTGATGGACAGACACCAAATGTTCCAGATTAACAAAGTTTAAAAGACACAAACTGTTTTAGTTGCTTCTAAAAATACTAAATTCCAGAGTTGAGCATTCATCCTTTATTTATACAGGTAAATCCCATTGAGCCTCAGGGACTCTTTTACAAGAGAGACCTGATTTTAACAAAGAGTGATGACAACAGTGGACAACAACAACAACGTTTAAAGTCACTTAGAGAGGTCAAGGTCGAGAGCTTCAAATCTTTTTGTAAGATATTCCAGGAAACAGGAGCGGAGTAGGAGAAGGCCCTTTTGCCTAGTTCAGTCCTCACTGAGGGAACACTGCAGGTAATAATGTCCTGAGAGCGCACGCTGTAGCTGCACTCACGCAGAGACATGTAGGAGGAGATGTATGAAGGCAGCAGACCAAGAAGTGATTTAAAGATGAAGATGTACCTGTGGGAGAGTCTACATGAAATTAATGATGTCCTGTTAGTTAACCAGTGAATACTGGGTGCAATGGGGTGTATAGTACAGCCAGTTATGAATCTTAGTGTACCATGACAGACAGCATCCAGCATCTGCAGGGTGCTTGTTGGGGCTTTCATGTATAAATGTCACCGGCATGCATGTGCATTCAAACTTCTTAATCGAGTTCTTTGAAAACGATCTTTTCCAGCAGTTACAGCAGCCTCTTCCATGAGCTTGGCACATCTGAAGGAAGTTTTTGTTCACTGCCTGACTGCATCAGTCTTCAGAACATACTAGAATTTGTAAGTTGGATTCAGGTCTGAGCTTCTGCTGGATCACTCAAGGACTTTTAACTGTTTCCCCCTTAAACCACCGGAGTGTTGCTCCAGCATCATGTTCAGGTTCCTTGTCCTGCTCCAAGGTGAACCCCTGTCCCCATCCCTTGTCCCGAATGTACAAAGACGTTTCCCTCTAGGCTACCTGACACTTATTTCCCCTTTTTTTATTCCATCCATAGTTACTTCTTTTAGAACAGTTTCCTAGTGGCTTGTAATGAAAAACAGCCTCACAGCATGATGCAGCCACCACCGTGCTCTACTGTGGATATGATGTTCTCAACATAATGAAAGATATGTTGTTGTTCTTGATGGCTAGAATGTTTGTTTTCTGACTGCGGCACCTTCTTCCATGTGCATTTTGGCAAATTAGATGTGTGTTTTTGATAAAATTACTTCTTCCTGCCATTCTTCCACAAAGCCCAGCTCTGCTTCTAATGGCCCTACGGACAGAACCTCCATCTCTCTGCTCCATCGGGGTTATCTTCGGCCCCTATGGTTGATTCTCTGATTAGTGCCCTCCTTCCCTGCTCTGTGTATTTTGATGGCTGACCCTCTCTTGGCAGATTTACTGTGGTGACATCATCTTTTCATTTTGCAATAATAGATTAAATTCTTTTGAAAGTCTGATTAAATTCGGTTTAAAGTCTACAAAATACAATAAAATACAAAGTGGGTGAATATTTTGTATCCCTCTGTCTCTTGAAGTTTGGGCTATTTAATAAACCAAAAAGAACAAATTAAAAAAATGCAACACCATCATACAAAGCACATGTATTCACAGCAGCCATTGGATCATCTGATCCCCCTGATTTTTGGTTGTGGCTTCTCTTTATTTTGTAAGGACCGATGATTTCAGAATGATAAATTTTAAATCACTTCGGTGACCTTAAAGTTGTCACCATGTGCTCACTAGTACCATCAGGTTGGATTGCTTTGTACACCAAACTGGTTCCCTAAGCCTTGAGGAGGTCCAGAGAAACAGCAGCAGTTCAGCTCTCAGCCACAAGGGGGCAATGTAGTCCTTACATTCAAAGGGAGAGACCAGAGTTCAGGGCAAAATGTGGAAAAACACATTTAAATGTATGAATGCTTGTTAAGATGTTTATATAAGTCAGCAGCACTTGGTTTGGATGTTTCTGTAGTTCCTGCAGAGCATCTCTGAGGCTGATGCATCAGCTGTGTGGTAAAAGAAGATTGATGCTCTCTGAGTCTTGCTGGAGGCAGCGAGAAAAAGCTCTGAATGAGCTGAGACATTGGCTTGGAGGTTCGCCACAATGGTTAACCTTCTCCCTCTGTAATGACCATATCTGGTTCCCTCGGCTCCGCAAGCCTCGCTCCACGCACCAAATGACATCAGAGACTGATGGTTAATGCTTCTTCTGTGTAAATGTTCCTTGTAGTCCTGATAAATGAATAAAACTGGGTGTGTTTTAATAGATTCCACAGACTCTTGACTAGAGGCGTAGGAGAGCTTAGTTTAATCAGCAGGGCAGTGGCAATGAGGTCACACAGACCATTTCAAACAGGAAAATCAAAGCAGACGTTTGGCTCCAGCTGTTGATTTGATACAGTTTTAAAAAGTGCCTGTGTTGGTTTTGACTGACAGCTTCTAACTGAATGAGTCATGACATGTGCAGAAGGAGGACAAACTTTCAGGGACGACGGGGGTGGGATTGACCCGTGGGGTCCAAAGACACGCATTCCATTTCCAATTAGATGCTAATGAAGTTTGAAAATGGACCCGCCTGGTTTGGATGAGCTCCCAGGAGGCTCAGCTCGTCCACGTCCATCATCATCTAAAGCAAAAAATAAAAATCCACTTTCTCTTTTGTGAGATTCTCCTCATTTTTCAGGAACTTCACTGTCAATCAATGGACTGGGACGTTTTGGGTATTTTTCTGCACAGCATCCAGTTAAACAAACAGAGTGGCCACCATCTAACCAGCAAACAGCAGATGGTCATAAAGTACATGCCCACAAGCGCCGTAAAACTGTTGGACTGAACAAAAGTACAAAAAAATTACCTTTAGTGTGTGTTCAGCATCACAGCCAAGGCCAGGCAACATCAAGTCTGCACATAATGAGTGGAAACTGATGGGCTGCTATCGGGGGTGGGGGCGGGTTAGTGACAAAAACAGATTTCCACTGCAGTCAGCTGAAGAGGAGGCCGTGCCTTCTTCATCCCACGGAGGAGATCAAGTGGGAGACTAAAGAACCAACAGATGGCGCCTGGGTCTGTTGTTGAACACTGAGTCCGCTTAGACAACTTTCTAAACTTTAGACATACTTTGAACTTCAGAGCAACAAATCAGAATCAAGAAGTATAAATTGTGATATTTAAAGATTGCAATCTGTAGCAGTATCATGATGATAACCCTTCAAATAAAATGTTCTGCAAAATGATTATGAAAATGTGTAAATATGCATCTTTAATGAGTTTTTCTGCAAAATAGACCTGATGACCAAACCCTGAAAATATATAAGCTCATTCAAAGATTAGGTAGGATGTAGAATCCAAATATTTAAAGTGCAACTGAAGAAATGCTGCAAGAAAATCTGTTTAAAGTTGAAATAACTGACCCAAATAAAATGCAAATAAACAGAATATATTCACAGCATTCATCAGGAGACCAACCTGCTCGCATCCAACTGATGGATTCCTCCAAATCCTCGGCGTTTGGTCTGTTCTCCTTGGACACCAAGTATGAGTCCAGTGGTGCACACAAACAGGGATCAGAGCATCCCAGACGTGCTGGTGTCAGCAGGGCGACGGCTGCCTTCTCCTCATCACTTCTTCAGAGAGTCTGAGAGGAAGGAGGCTCAGCCCAGCTGATGCTGAGGAGGGAGGGAGAACCAGAGGGAGGTGGGAGGGCAGAGGAGCAAATATGAAAGGAACTTTTTTTTGTGGAGACAAAAGCTGTTCAGAAAAGGGCGGGTCCAAATCCAGCCAAAGTGTGAGCGGGGGGTGAAGTTAGAGGTCTCAGATCTTGTTTCAGGCTGCAGCTCAGCCTGAAAACATGTAGAGCTCACCTCAGTGAGCGGGACCTCAGCAGGCTGGGACAGAACCAGTTTCTGCACCAGTTTCTGAGTCCATTGTGGGACATCCGAGCATAAACATCAGCAGGACTTTTATTCCCCCTCCCCCGCCCCCCACCCCACCCAATGGAGCATGATGGATGTTGTCTGCAGATTGCCTTATACGTAACCTTTCATGAGCTGATGGCCCTTTGAAAATTAAAATTTTAAAATAATACCAGCTGTTTATAATACTTTATTACTGTTCTTTTCACTTTAATTTAGCATTTACTTTTATAAAATAATTATTGTTTCCAAAAGCATTCTAACAAGCTTCATTGCCCAACATTTAGAAATATTTTCAAACTTTGCTTATATTTCTGTTCATTGTTCATTTCCTCCACACAACTAAGTGAAATAAGCAACTATTTTCTCAAATTTTCTTGTTTTAGTCATTTTTTCTGGTATTTTGTGAAAAGGTAGTCAATATCTTACCTGTTGTAGATAGCCCTTTGAATGATCTGTATTTGGCGGAACTGAGATAGTTTGACAGGAGGTAAAGTCTAAAGGTGGTCTCTCCTATATCACAGACTTTTTGAGAAATAAATCAGAATTCTGAGATTAAAGTCAGAATTTAGGAAAATAAAAATCTAAACGGTGGTCCTAATCTTCTTCTGCATAAAGTGTTCAAATGAGCAGATCTCAAATTTTAAATATTTATTGCTACATTAGAAAGTTTTGGACAGCCAAAGCATGAGACCTCCTTTTCTGTTTAAAATAGATTTTTTATAAAAATCTTTTTACATAAACTGCTTCGTTTACACCTCGTCTTGAAACATCATCTTAAAGTGTCTAACTTCTTTGTCCCAAATATGAACAAAATCCTCCTCTAATCAAGGTTCAAGGTGACTTTATTGTCATTTTTATCACGTGGTACATGAGGTGGAACAAAATTTTGTCCCCAAGGTCCCAGTTACATCCAAAAATAGCAAAAAAGAAAAAAAGGAAAGAACAAAAGAAACTATAAAAAGAAACAGTATATAAGGGTCTAAGATATATCTCTATCTATCTATCTATCTATCTATCTATCTATCTATCTATCTATCTATCTATCTATCTATCTATCTAT